TGGCACAGAGAACAGAATCTGACAGACCAAAATGTGAGCGAGTGTATGTGTAGAGTGATATACATAGAGCTGAAGATAAAAGTGATCTATTTCCTCTCAAGAAGGATTGAGAATAAGTTATTTCAAAAGAAAAGGAAACACTTATTAGTAGTATGAACGCGAGCACACAGAAGTCCACACAGTCGTTGTGCACACGTGATATGAGCTTTCGGGGAGATCTTTGTTTGATGTTTCGGGCTGAAACTGGAGGGAAGTGGGGGAGGGCTAAGGAGGTGAGGCTAAATGCCGAGCAAGATCCGAAGTCGCATAAACGTAACGTTAGCATGGGAAGTGGAATTCGACCATCTCAAGTCTTCCTGAGAGAGCCAAGCTGTTGGTGCTCTTCTTGTTCAGCACACACAAAGGCCCTTTCCTTTTCCTTATTTCCTGCTGGAACACAAAACACTTGTCAGCAAAGAGAACCTGTGACAGACTGAGGCAAGGGGAAAGGAAGTGGAGTGGTTTTGGGGCTCAAAGTAGGAGAGACGTCACCCTCACCTGGTAGGAATAGAAGCACAGTTTGTATTTTACCTAATAAAGCTTAGCTCTGAGTAAACAATGTAGTTGTCCACTACTTGTGAAAATAACATTTTCCAGTAGAGGGCAGACTTTACATTAAAATAGATCTGAAAGGCCTGCAACTAAGGTTTTTTTTTTAATTTGAAAAATTGTTTAAATTTCAGTATTTTTGGTTTCTAAATGATATAAAAATAAATTCAAAGTATTTAAGGTCTAGGGTATGTTAAATATGAAATTTCTTGGATCCTAGTTCATATTTCTGCCATATTAGCAAAATATTCAATCTGTGATTACAGAATGAGGCCGTTTTTTTCCCATGGCTTATGGACTGGTCGTAGACACTCAGAGTTGTTGTAAGCAAAGCTGTTCTTTTTTGTGTTGTTTACAAAGCTATCACAGAAAATTCCATCTTTTAACTGGATGGGTATAATTTTCTTTCACGCCAATAGTGTTTGATATGAATAACCACTTTTCTTTAACAAGGATTAGCATCATTTTCTAATTTGTTTTATAGCTAGCTTTAATATTTTCCCTAGGGGAAATGGCACCTTATATAAAAGTTAACTAACCTATTACACAACGTAATTCTGATATGCAAAGCCCTTTATGCAGCAGCTATATGGAATTTAATGTTTGTTTCTTTTCAAGATTCTTTTCTTTTCTCTAACAAAATCATCCTTAAGTAAATTAGAAACTAGAACTACAGTTTACATTTTATTTTTAAAGGTTTGGTCATTTGTTCACAGTGGCTGAGTTCCAATCCAGAGACCAATCCTTTAGAGTCCACACTGTTTTTTATGGCAGCACCCTGCTCCATTGATTTTGTTTTATATTTTCTACTCTAATATCACACATGCATAATCTGATTTATATGACAAGTCCAGAGTGACGTACTTTGAGAAGTACAAAGAACAAAATAAGATAATCCTAAATAAATCAATTGTAGAAATTTTTTCACATGTAAACTATATAGGTTGGTTTATTTTCTGGTGTCACATAAGCACTTTCTTGAGCTTGCTTTTTAGGGTGTATGACTATAATATGATTTTTTTTTTAAAGTGCATATAGAAAGAAAACCTTTAGGGAAGGCATTCTTGGTGTTATGGGAAATACACTATATTTTATTTTATTATTAAATTTATTTCCTTCAGTACTTCCATTCCCATGAAAGCAAATATATATATATATATATATATATTTATATTTATATAAATTCGTAAGAATTTGCTGCCTTGGAAACAAAATTATTTTTATGTGAAGAAACTGGAGACTTATAGTCTCTTAAAATGACAGATAAATCAGCTCTTGATAACCACTTTCATTTTCATAATACTCCCCATCAGAATTATTCACACTAACTTTGTGCAATACGGACAGAGTAGTTTGTTTTAACTTGGATGCAAAGCAGGTTTAAAAATGAGTGTGAATGCTTAAAGGTAAAAATGAACGTCTGTCAATGAAATCAGCAATATTAACAAAGTACAAATCATCTCACTAAATTTTTTTTGGAAAGACAAGCTCTGTTTTCACATTGGTAGAAAATTTGATATTGCAATAAAAATGTCTATTGCTGTTAACAACAAAAGAAATCCTTTGTTCTCAATTAACACTGTCGGTACGGTATTGTTTCCTTGTTCACAAAGCTTCCCAGAAATCATGAGATGCACTTGAGGTTGGAAAAAAAGCACTCTAACCCTAGACTTAAGATTCAGAAAATGAGAACTCTGACCCATTCTAGCTGTGTGATCTGGAGAAGTCATTTAACCTCTCTGAGCCTTGATTTCCCACCTATAAAATCGAAGTGATAATGGGTGTCCACCATAGAGGATGCAGACAGCTTAAAGTGCAATTTTCATTCTCTCTGGGATAGCTCTGAACTCAGTGTCCTTCTGACACACTGCAGATCTGGGAAGTTAAAATAATCCAGGTAATGAGTTTATATAATACCTATTTTTATTGTAATTTTCTATAGAATTAATAAGCTGTTTGTGCACATTGCATAAATAGCTCCCCTCTCCATGAAACTTGTCTAAGTCAAAACAAAGCAAGGGGGGAATCTTGGTTTTACATTTATAAGAAGAGGGCTTAAGTTTCTGATGTAACTGCTAGTGACCAGAAACTGAAGTACAAATCATCTCCATTTCTGTTACATTTAGTGGAAAACTTGATGAGTGTTGGATTTTAGATAATATTTGTCAGCATTTTTCAGTAATTTTGATATTTACTTCAATTCTCAATACTACATTTAAAACAACAAAATGAAAAGCATGTCAACATTCACTTTTTTGGCCTCAAAATCCTGGCCTATATTGCTAGATATAGAATTATCCTGGCAGTGACATTTTCCCATCTCATTTTACACCTTGCCTTTTCCTTACAAATCATACTCTCTTTTCATCAGTACATCTGCCCAGAGCTCTCTTCTACTTGACAGTTCTATCCCACACTCGCCTCTGAGCTTCTAACAAGACATTCCTCTGGGAATTGCAAAGTGCCATATTTAAAACCTCTCAGTGAGAGGTGCAGGTTTTCCTGTGTGATCATAAGGGATTCCTCAAATCTGAATTTTAGAGCTAATCTACAACAACTGATAAGCACAGTATTTTCACATTAGTCTATTTATGTTATGCTAATAAACTTAAACAATATGTATGTCCATTGAGACTTTCTCTACAACTTTTGTATCAGCTGTGTTATAAATTTTAAGAAAGATGTTTTACACATTCAATTAGCATTGACTGAAACTCTATTCTATCTTATTAGTTAAAGACCTGCCCAAATCATAAGGAAGACATCTGAGATGTCACAGACACCCTAGGGAATACTAGTCTGCAATAAAAAGGAAGAAATTACTGATACATCAACACCGTGGATGAATCTCAAATGTCTCATGCTAAGTTAAAGCAGCCCTACACAAAGCCTACGTATGTCATGCATCCCTCTGCCTGACAGTCTGGAAAAAGCACAATGATAGGGACAGAAACCAGGTCAGCGCTTGCCAGAGGATAATATTAGGGAATTGACTTCAGAGGGGGCAGGCAGGGACTCTTAGCGGTGATGGAAATATCTTACTTGTGACAGGTTACAGAGCTGTATGCACTTACCAGACTCATTGAAGTATACATTAAAAAGTGATTTTTACACTGTAAAAACTATACTGCATCTGAATCAAAAAATTAACTAGCTAAGGAAAATGCTCTGCAACATACTTGTGGTTTGGTTGTATTCCATCTCTTCCAGCGTTTCACCAGCATCCTAGGATGTGTCTGTTTTTCATCCGTTTCTTTATATAGTCCTAAATATATAGAACTCACTCTAGTTTTAAGCAGCTTGAGGCTACTTAAATATAATTTATTAGTGCATTGGGGAACTTTAGGGTGAAGTAGTAATTAACAAGTGTTATGAAATATTCTGAACTGTAAATTATTAAATGGTACTCTTACCCTAGCAAAATATCAACTATTTGATTCTTACTTCATTTTCTAATTCCAGCAAGAGCATATTGGACTCAATATTACCTAATGGTTATTAAATTCCATAAGGTAATTGATATTAGCCCCATTTAAAAATAAGGGGAACTTAAGCACAAAACAAAGTCAACAGCAAATTTCACAAGTTCTTTCAGATTCAAAAGACCACAATTGTAATCAATCACCTTGCACTGAATTTTGCCAGTTTAAAGATAATTCTGATCCATATGGAAGAGATCGCCCAAGTCTTTGGAAATAAAATGAAAGGAAGGAATTCTGCCCCAAAGGAAAGAAGGTTTTCAAAGAATTGATATTGAGTGCGAAAGTCAGAAAATGGGATTAATAACCAAAGGGTGTGTACTAACATTCATACACACTCCTAACTCGATTGTAGAGACTCCGTTTAATCAAGCAAAAACATGTATTGCGTAATAAGCTTCTAGTACAATTAGGATGCCAGACCTTAATATATTGTTTTTGAGTACAGTCTTCTTGATGTTTTAAATTTATGTTTATCACTAAAATATTATCTTCATAACTGATCAATAGAGTCATATGCTTTATTAGTTCTCTAATATTTTAAGTGAAAATAGCTCAATGGATTCCAAATAAACCTTTTGGTTTAAAAGCCAATATCAAATTTAGATATTCTTTTTGGGGAGCAAAAGGTGCATAGAGAAAGACAACAGAAGTCATAAATTCCTAGAAATCTGCATTAGCTCTCATATAGGAAACATAGAACCTTAAGTAGGTGATATGTATTTGATTCACCACCCGGCAGCTGCTCATTCACAGTGGACTCTTTTTTTAACGTAGCCTGCCAGAAACTCTTACCTTTTATTCATAGTTGTCTGGGTGTGCTTTCTCCACTTGCACTGAACTGTATGTACTGTGTGCTGTAGAGGTGTGCAGCTAAAATACGTTTATTCTCAGAAATATTTTTAAAATATTTTAAAATGTTTTCCTTTGCAGAATCAGACACAAGTTTGGCAGAAGGAAGTGTCAGCTGCTTAGATGAAAGTCTTGGACATAACAGCAACATGGGCAGTGATTCAGGCACCATGGGAAGTGATTCAGGTACTGCCTAACTGTTGTGTAAACCTTAAAAAGTGTGAAATAAGACACCATATAGTGGAATTCATGGGGGCTGTTCATACCCTCCCTAATGTATTTATGCAATTAAAGCAATTCTTTTCCACAGTGAAGTTATTTTGGAACCTTGCCATTCATTTTCTTTAAAAGTACAACTTACAATGTCTTAGGACCAAACTATCTAACTCTGATCCAGTTCCTATCTTTTGGTCTGGCATATGTCATATTCCATAGAATCATGACATCTTTTTTTTATCATATCTGTTTCAATTCATTTGACTGAATTTAATTTTGCATTTAATTGTGTCTATTTATTTATTCCTCCAAACTGCCTTTTTTATGTTCTTAGACTTGTACCTACAAATCATGTTGAATCTGTTAAAAATTGATTAAAATTAAAATAAAAAATAAAAAACATAGATTTTGAATAAAAACATTAATACTATCAATAAGAGAGGTATGACTCTGTGGATACCTCAAATAACAGAATTCCTCTTAAAATCAAAAACTAGAAACTAGACATAAAGTTTAATTTCCAATACAAAGCTTTTGAATTGCAGTAGAGTTATAAAATAGTTCGGTCACTATATGTAAAATTTACTAATTGCTCTTTATATTGGTTATGTATCTCCCTAATAATAACAGAATGCCTGTTCCTAAACATTCACACATTAATCAATATGTCTTCTGATCATATTTTCTAAAATTGCCAGTCTGGTAGATTTCAAATAGTTTCTTTTTCTATTCCAATATGTGTTTCCATGATTGTTATTGAGCTAAAATATTAACATCTTCTAAGTATGGGTGATGGGTGATGGTATATCTTTACACATCTTTCAACATTTGTCTATATGCTTGATATATTTCAAAATTAGATTTAACAAATTACAAAGAAATACTTTGCGATGTGGCTAAGAAGCAGTAGAAAACTGAAAAATTAAGGAATAAAATACTTTATTCTTTACTTGTGATTGAGTTGTTTCCACATAAAAATACCATGTAATTCAGATTATTCTTCATTGTCAGAAAAATCACAGACATGTACATACATGATAAGCATAAAAGGGCAAATAGTTTATATAACAATGGTCACCTTCCCTAAATGCTTTTAAAATTGGATTTTACCAGTTTTTTATTTGTGTGAAGGAACATGAACAAGTTTGTTTGTAGATAAGTTATTTTGGTGCAGGAAAATTTTGAAATCCATACATACAAGAAGTCTTCCAAAAGTTCACAGAAAATGTAATTATGAAAAAAAAATCGTGGATTTTAAAAAAAAAACATGCATAGAAATAAATTTATCTAAATTCCTTTCCACTTATTTTTTGAAGTACACTCATATATCTTTTTTTATGATCACACTTTTGAGTCCCTTTGATTAGAACAGCTTAAATTGAAGAGACCCAATTCACCAAATGCCAGTCATTATTTTAGTGCAATTAAAGTGTTAATCCATTTTCTGTTCAACTCACTGTTTATGAAGTCCTTGCCATTTGCTTTTTTCTGTGGATTGTGTTTTTTCCTATATTTGTCATGAAATTGTTAAATTTAATGATTAACATTTGTGTTATATGCTATTGATGCTAGAACTCAAAATACACTCTAGCTAATATTTAACATCTTTATGTGTTGTTTTAAGCTTCTGGACCTCATCCTAATTTTTATTTGTCTAGGTAAGGGCTTTTCAACAATATTCATTCATTCAATAAATATTTAATGTGTATCCTCTGTGTGCAGGGCATTTTGCCTATTTAGAGCTGTTAGCAAATGTATTTGCTGATTTTTAGTTCTCAATGTGGCATGAAAAACACGATAAATCTGAACGCAAATCACTTTTGAAAATCAAATACATTTCAAAGGAAAATACATTTTTGAAAACATTTTCAAGGGACACTCCTTGAACCTCCTGACAGGTCAGTGCTTTCTTACAAGGGATTATTTTGTGCAGTGGGCAGAAAAATTCTGAAATGATAAAATTATGAAACGCCTTACTGTCAGATGCATGCTCTAAGCTGAGCTAGAAATGAATCCAATTCTAAAAGGTCTCTAGATAGATTGAAGAATTGCTAAACACATACTGGATAGAGTTACTGAAGAGTATTGCAGTGTTTGTCATTATAGTTTAACCCTTGATGTTGACATCTAAAGGGCCCTCATTGTATATTTCTTTGTCCTCTTTGAAAGTCAAAAATTGTGCTGTAACGATTATGACTGCACCCAAACTGATTGCATCATGATCCTTTGCAGAAATATTACTCCAGTGTAAAACATAAGTGCTGATACTTACATTTCTAATTATATTACGATAGGGTGTTTTTTTTTTTTTTTTGTCTGTTTTCCACTTTCAGAGAGATATCCTGCTTCTCAAAGTGACAATGTTTTTGTCAATACTCGTTGGACTCATAGATAGAAAGTGTCTCCTAACTATTTCTAGGGAATGCCTATTAATATTTGTCCAGCTGGAATGGCATGTTTTTGGTGGCTACATACTATAGGTAGAGGAATACTTTGTCAATTTCAAACACATGCAGTGACAGACCTTTTCTCTCCAAGAATAACTCAGCTGTCAAAATCAATGTGAAAATGAAATTTGCCACATGGTGTGGTTCCAACAGAATATTACTATTCAAACCTATTTGATTTCATTTTTGGCCATTTTCATGGGACAATATCATTTCAAGGTTTGACCAATATTTGTTATAGAAGTATGGCATGATATTATTTAAAATCTGTATATATTTTAATACCATTTTAATTGTTGTATTTAATTTATTACACTATTTAGAAAGAGCCAAAAAATAAGTAAACAAGAACTCAAACATTTCTTTTATGAAGGCAATTGGCACCAGGTCTATTGATATCACCCCTGTTATCTCCTTCCAGTGAAAGAGAAGAGAAAACTCTGTTTTCATTTCTTATGTGGATAAATTCTTCCATCCCTATGTTAGAGGATGCGATAAGGCAAGAATCTGGCTGCGTATTTAGCAGTCATCCAGCTCTTTATCTTTGGATGCTATTCTCACATTGAATCCAACTCTAATTTTTTCCATATCCATTCTGTGCTTCTCATTTATATGTGGGGCTACCCATTAGATCTCCTAGTATTAACTCAAAAACATAGATAATTGATCTCAATACTTTGGTTCTAAAGTTAAATTTTGAAAACAATAGCCCTTTTAATAGTCAAACTCATCTTAAATTATTAGTGCAATAAACATTTAACATGCACGAGTGATACTGATATATTACTCATTTTGTTTTAAAATATTTTATTTACACAAAGGGAACAACTTTTGTGTACTTCATATTCACAGCTATATTAACTTATTGGAACTTCCCACCTCTCCATCTCTTCCTCATTCCCTACCTCCCTTATCCTTACTTCCTTATTTTCTTGTAATTTTTACAAAGACATACTTTCACTTTTCTTTATAATCACCAGCATAATTCTCTGCTAAATGAAGAATTCAACAAGCAGTAGGTAGAAAAACCACTGTTCCTCAAGAGTATAGACAAGGGCCATAAGCAATCTCAAATCTCAAAATGTCAATTTCACTGATATACCTTTTATTGTAGTCTATATATTAGTTACCACAAATTAGAGAAATATGATATTTTTGGGATGGACTGATGGATTTCACTAAACATTATTGTCTCCAGTTGCGTCCATTTTGTTGTGAAAGACAGGATTTCATTATTATTTACAACTGAGTAGTATTCCTTCTTCTATATATACTGTAATGTCTTTATCAGAGACCCCAGAAATTAGCTGGTGAACTTCTGGGTTAATTCCATATCAACTATTGTGAGCTGAGCTGCTATAAACATGGAGGTGCAGCTAACTCTTTCATATGATGATTTCGTTTCCTTTGGGTAAATTCCCAGGGGTAGAATGGTTGGATCATATGGTAGATCTATTTTTCGGTTTTCTGAGGAATCTCCATACTGTCTTCCATAATGATTGTATGAATTTACATTTCCACCAATGCATAAAAATGTCCATACTATCCAAAGCAATTTATAGATTTAATGAAATCCTAATAAAAATACTGAAGATGTTCTTCTCAGATATGGAAAAAATGACTCTTAAATTCATGTAGAATCAAAAGAGACTGTGAATAGCTAAAACAATTCTAAAGAATAAATATAAAGCTGAAGGCATCACAATACCTGATTTCAGAACATATTACAGGGCAGCTGTAATCAAAATAGCTGGGTACTGGCAGAAGAACAGACATGTGGACCAATGGACCAGACCAGAGACCCTAGAAATTAATCCATACATCCACAACTAACCTTCAACCAATGAGCTAAATTCAATTCCTGGAGAAAGGACAATCTCTTCAACAAATGGTATTGGAAAAATTTGATCTCTGCATGTGAAAATATGAAACAAACCTCTTACCTTACACCCTATACAAAAATCACCTTACAGTGAATTAGAGAACTAAATCTTTGACCTGAAACCATCAAATTGCTAGAAGAAAACATAGGGGAAGCGTTCTAAGATATTGGCATAGACAATGACTTCTTAGATAACACCCCAGAAATGCAAACAATAAAAGCAAAAATAGCCAAATGAGAGTACATCAAGCTAAGAAGCTTCTGCACAGTAAAGGAAACACTCAAAAAAGTAAAGGGGCAACTGACAGAATGGTAGAAAACATTTGCAAACTATACATCCATGAAGGAGTAAGATCCAGAATATATAAGGAGCACAAGAAACTCAACAACAACAAAACTAGAAATCCAGTTCAGAAATAGGCTAAGGCTATGAACAGGTATTCTTTAGAGGATTAAACACAAATGGCCAGAAACACAATGAAAAGATGCTCAGGATCACTAGCCATGAGGGAAATGCAAATAAAACCCACAATGAGGTATCACCTCACCCCAGTTAGAATGGTTACTATTCAAAAATCAATAAGTGACAAATGCTGATGAGAAAGTTAGGGAAAAGATACCTTCATCTTGCTTCTAGATTCTTGGGAAAGATACTTAGAATACTGGTCTGTGTTTTCTCCTTTGATTTATTTTATTTTATTTTTTTACTCAAAGATGTAGTACTAAGCACAGGAAACAAAAAGAAAACATCATTTAAAAAACATGCACAATCATTATTGTGGAAACAGCATTTTACTATTTTTAAAATCTGTGCAAAAAATGCCCCAGTGTAATGTATTTGTGAAATTAAACAGAATTTGTTGATATCTTTTAAAAGTTTAATAGATCATGTAGTAAGTTAGCAAAATTAAGTTTCTGGGTCCTGATTTGGATGCCTCTTAGCATACATCTTCCTTGTAAATATTTTAGTTCTTTTTGGAAAGGTTAGATGATAAATATTCTCAATAGAGGTAAAATATTAAGATTTTTATTATCCATTTAAAGGCTATGTAGAAGCAATTTTGGTCATAAATAATATGAGCCTTACATAAATATAATAAAGTTCAAAAGGAGCAGAGAAACAAAAATTGTCAATGTGTATTTTAAATGCTGGCAATCTGCATGAGTTTCTTATGAAAATCATATTAAGTGAATCAGCAAATGATCCAATGATAGCTTAGACCTAATGCATCTGTCTTTACTCATCCACATAGAAGGCAAATTTCCTGCCAGGTTAGTAGCTGATTCTTCCTAAGTGGTATTTGGTGTGAATGTTCCTACCTATTTAGAAAGTACTAACAAAACAAGTTAAAACCCACTTAAATAGAGTCATTCAGTTGGTGAAATGGAACCATCAGCAACTTTTTTGAAGTTAATGGGATCATATTAGTTTAGTTTTATTGCAATCACTGATAAGAAAATGAGCTCTTATTTCATGTGTGATGAAATACTGATAAGAACTGTCCTTTTCTTCTTGTGATTATATAAAGCATACAAAGGGCTTTTAAAAGTGCATAATATTTATTTTACTGCATTCCACATTATACACTATTCATGTTTACATCTTTCTCCTGGCTCAAATAAATAAGGTCACTTCTAAATAAAAGACATTATGTCTAAACCAAAATATGTCACAATAATGTTATTCTAGCATTCGCAAAATGAATGTAGGCTAGTACCTGTTGTACCAGTATTTTAAATTTAAAAATCCATGTTAATTGAAAATACTTCTAATATATTGTGCTTTGGGTTTCAGGAAAAGTATGAATAAGTGGAGATATACATAGAATGAAAGAATAAAAATCAATATTCAAAACAAAATGGCAAAATTAGACACAATTTAGTTAAACCAGCAATTTTTTTTTACCTTTCAATGAAAACCAGCCAACCAAATGCTAGCATGTGAAGAGTTTCTTCCTACTCCCTAAATATCAATCTGTAACAACCTGGTTGTCTTAAATTGGGAAAAGATCCTGATAAAGTTGTACAAGTTACCTCAAAAAGCCTGTGGGAAAGGGAAATGAAAGATAAGCATATTCACGTGCAAACAAAGTTTTAAAATCTGTGCATACACAATGTGCTTTTTCATGAACTGTTGAAAACCCCTTGGGTACATACAGATATACATCTACGTGTACAGTTAACCTTCCAAATCCATGGGTTCCACATCTGCAGATTCAATCAACTGTGGATTAAAAATACTCAATAAGAAATTTTGCTTGTACTGAACAAGGGCAGACTTTTTTGATTATCGTTCCTCTTGTTTTTCTTCTTTATTTCTTTCAGATGAAGACAGTGCAGCAGTAAGAAGATCCCCTGAGCCAGAGCTGCAGCTTAGGTCTTACCAAATGGAAGTTGCCCAGCCAGCCTTGGAAGGGAAGAACATCATCATCTGCCTTCCTACAGGGAGTGGGAAAACACGAGTGGCTGTTTTCATTGCCAAGGATCACTTGGACAAGAAGAAAAAGGAATCTAATCCAGGAAAAGTTATAGTTCTTGTCAATAAGGTATTCAAAGAAAATGTAATGCAACATTATTTGCTCATTTTCATGCTATCATTCCAAAGCTTTTACATAATGACATTTGTAGCAATGCTTCACATTTAGCTTAATTAAAAATAATGTCAAAATAAGACATTCTTTTATTTTTGATCTTTACTTTTTGAGTTATATCTAAATCTAAGTAATTAGCCTTAAAATGAAATTTTCCATAGAACCAAAACATTAACCCTATGTATATATGCATAAAGGTTATATTTACCTAGACATATTTTTATGTTAATGATTGCTAATTTATTACTGTGAGCATGAATGAGCCCAAAACATCTATAATCACAAATGATTCATTAGAGTTTCTTAATCATTGACCCTTAATTAAAGGTGGAAATTTTTTTTGATTCAAAATAAATATATGTATAATGTGATTTGAATACAGAGACAATCAAGTAACTGGTTTATCCATATTAAATTAACAGTATTCAGTGATTATTTATATTAAATATTTATTCCATTAAATGCAACTGAAGCTTTTCTTTGATCATTTCCATTCTCATCTACTCCTTAACAAAAACCTCAGCAACAGATTCTAAAACTTGCTATAGTTTTTGGATGTTTATTATGCAAAACTTTGTTTGTTATTTATTTTTCAGTACTGAAGAAAAACACCCAAAATTCATGATTTGCATAATTTTCATCATGTTGTTACAAGTGTGTTTTGTTTTGTATCTAAAAATCTCCCCTTCATAGATGTATACGCACGATGAGAATACTTTAATATCTTTTTCTGGTAATGGTGACATGTTAAAATGTATTTGCCCATAGCCTTCCATTTATTTTTTTATAAAGCATATTATATTTTAGGGTAAAAACAGCTTAAATCCTATTTCTACCTACCAATAGTTTGACCTTAGACCAGTAAATGACTTATCTAATTTTAGCTTTTGCATTTGTAAAATGAGCAAAATGATAGCAACACTGCTTTCAGATTTAAATTGTATTACATATATATTGAAAGGGAGAAAGAGAGATCCTAGGAAAGACTCAGTAAATATTATATCTTTTTTCTCATTCCTTCTTCCTCTCCTTACTTTTACAGAGTGGTTCTCTCACTTGTGCTGGGTAACTTGTAACATCCAGGAGGTTCCTTTGCTCACTCAATAGCCCTAAGCGTTCTTTGAACCACAGACACTGTTGGGAAGTCCTACTTGTATTCATTCAAATCTGTTTTCTTGGAATCCACACTCAATGGCTAGATCTCTTTCTTCTTTGATTATACACAGTAAGTCTTGATTTTCCTGCCATATGACAGATAGAAGGCAGCATCATGTGGTTCCTATCTTATTTTCCTTTTTGTCCACAGTTGCTTTAATCATTCTTCATTTAACATGGTCTCCAGCCCTTTCATTATTCAGAGTGTTCATATTCTTCCTGTCTTTTATCTAGGACTCTCTTAAAACACAGCATCCAGACCTAAATAAGATACTATCAATCTGGTCTTACTGGTGTGGAGTGCAGGAGAAATGCCATGTGACACTCATTCAACTGGCGACTGTTTGTCTTCAACATTCACACATTCATCTGAACCTTACCATAAACTCAAATCCTTAGTTCCTTTTCATTTAAAAATCTGTTAAACCAGCCATCTCTTAACTTATTGCTATGAAGTTAATTTTGAATATAAAGTATTTATATTTGTTTGGAAATATTTACATTTATTTCTTGATGTCTTTTATATTTCTTGACCATTTCAGGCCTCATGTATTTCTGCATCTTCCTTTCTGTAATGTTTTATGCTGCCAATGTTATATTCTAATCAAAAATGTTATCCAATCAGATCTAGGTTATTCTTACGAATGCACATTTATGGCCATGTTTCAATCCTTACTAACTCTTCATAGTCACGTTACTGATGTACAGACATTTGAGAACATAATTTTATTCCCTTGTTGTTTTTCTCCTCAGAATTACTAGACATTCCTGTACTAATTATTCCATCAATGTCATACTTCACTATGCCATTTCTTTTAATTTGAAAGAAATTTTTACTTTACCTTTTAATTGAATCAGGACATATCGGGCCCAGTAAGTCAACATAACCTGTGCATTCCAAATTTGGCCCAATAGCAAGGTCTTCTAACCCTTGATCAGGAAAAAAGAAATCCTGTTCCCTAACATCATTTACTTTCTTTTCCTATCCTCTGTCCTTTCCAAAGTTATAGCCTTCAGATGCAGGAAGAAATGAAAACACCACCTGTGCTCCCAGACTTTCTACTTCCTATCTAGGACTTCAACATCGTGAGAGATAAATCCCAGGTTCCTTCAGATGCTATAATACAGCCCATATGATTCAGCAGAAGTGGGTAGCAGTTGGATTTGATTAGTCTTGGCAGGCACTCTGTCACTTCTCAGGAAAAGGCTCCAAGAGGACCACACATCTCCCAATTAACTATGTCAGACTCGCACCTGCCTTCCTCTGTGTCCTTCAGTAGGAAGTCAATGCCACCCAGAGCGAGCCTCGAGCAAGGGGATTTTCAACACTTGCTATCTCCTGTGACAACTTCTTTTTGTTCTGTAGATCAGAGGATGCTGCTTCTTGGAAAGTTTTGACTCACCTTTTGTGGATGGATCCTCTTGCTGCTGTATCACTCTGTGATACAGAAATTCTTAGTTATCAGTCATTATTCATGTCTTTATTTAAAAGTGAATCAAATATAGATCTTGCTCTCAGGGAATCCACAGTCTAGCAAATAGATAAAATGTCTGTTGATTATATAATAATCAATATTTTATTGCATTTCCTAAAGCACTCTCAGATGTACTATTGTATTGAATCCATGCAGCTACTTTATGAGGCAGTCATTATCATTCCCATTTTATACATCAGAAAATGAAAGCTCCAAGACACTTATTGGCCTGTGAAGGGTCATCCAGCCAATATCAGCAGACAGAAGACTTGAACCCTTATACCATGAAGTCAATTGGAGCTTCTGTATTCTCCACACTTACAGAAGAAAATGATAGGGTATATATCAAAAAAATTGTCTGAGTACTAGAAATATGTTCACACTCCATTTCATTTAATTTTTACAACATTACAACAGGTTAACAGCCTCATTTTATTAATGTGGAAATTAAGACAATTGAGATCATTCATCTTTGCCTCACAAACAAGGCCACATAACACCAGTTGCTAGGGTAGATGTTTTCAGGGCTTACTTCCTTCTTTCTAGTTCATTCTATGTCTTCCCACAACATGTAATTTCTGTTCTCTTCTTTACAATCTTTCTGATTTCTTACTCAGATTATTCTGTCTGTATTGCATATAAGGAACTGGAAAGAACATTTCTGGAAAATTGCATCAGGACGGGTCTTGTGGTAGAGAGGGAAGAGCTGTGGCACTCACGTTTTAGTCTCTGATGTCATGTGGAGGGAGGCTTCCTTAAAGTGAAGGTAAAGGCTCTGCCCCCAAAGTTGCTCCCTGGATTTGGTAGTTCTGGAGTGGGACTCGAGAATACACAATTGCTAAATCTCTGAGGTGATTTTGTGCAGGTACATCAGAGATACTTTGTTTAAAAAAAAAAAAAAGAACTGACACTTTCGCTTCCTACCCTTTCCATCTGTGGTACCTTCTTTTACTCATCCACCTTGACTATCAATTTGAATTCCCCTTTGCTTCCTGAAATTCATGGGTTCCCTTTCCCTCCCCCTCCCCCAACAAGACATTCATTCTTAGAAACTACTCCATCATTTCTACTAAATAATAATGAAAAACATGTTCTTTATACACTGATCTCAGCCCAAGAGATCAGCCAACCCTTACTGAGTACCTAAGTAGAACTCACATTGAGTAAAGAAATGAACAAGTATCCTACAGACTAGGAAAGTAACCATAGATTCATTATCAGATGATCACATTATAAGGGATACATTGCAGGCTCCTTGAGGTTTGCCCTTGAAACTCCACCCACCAATTCCCTGTGGCCCCACTATTCACCCCTAGACTTCCATTGATTAACTCCTTTAGGAGATGAACAGGTTCTTCCACCCCCTCATTCAGGCAGTGTTCTGGATACAAGTAATGTGCAGCCCTGAGGTGTCAACCAAGTCACCCTTAACAGACGTTACAACATACGAGCAGTCAGCTGAAAGGGACAGAAAGTTTCACTTCTGTCACCAAACCTATTTACTGTTTTGTTCTTGCTCAGGCACCAAAACCGTTCCAGCAGTTCATTCCCTCAGTCCCCATCCATTCTCCTAGTCAATGCCAGAATTCCTCTTTCTTGGTTCCCTATTCCACCCCATCCTTTGTGTGCATTGCCTCTGGTTTGATCCCAAAATAAGCAACAGTACAACTCATTAGCATCCTTTGAACTCTTACATTGAATTAAAAATATTCCAATTGATTTTCACAGTCTGGTTCTGTTCTACAAATGAAAATATAATTTTTATCCAATCTTAATATCAACTATCTCTTTACTGACCCAGGGCTTGTGAGATTAGATTCAAATTCCTTCTAAACCTTTCTTTGGTCTGGTCGGTTGCTTCTTCCTCTTTGCTGTCACTTTGCATGTGGTTCTGTGGGAGAATTATTACATAGTGTTGTAATCATTTGTTTTGGTTAGGCTTGCTCTGTATGCTTAGCTAGACTGAGATCCTCAAAGTCATCAAGCATATATCTTAAACATTGTGTACTAGGCAAAATGTCTATGCAAGTCAACAGAATAGTGAGAGGAAAGATGAATAGTTTGCTATGTCTAATTACTTGATAATATAAATATTTCTGGTAATGCCTGACACAACTGTTGGTCAATTTCCTTTGCTTTGACTAGGCTTTCTCCCTCTCTCTTTTTTTAAATTGTCATGTTTTAAGGTACCATTAGTTGAACAGCTCTTTCGCAAAGAATTCAAACCGTTTTTGAAGAAATGGTATCGTGTTATTGGATTAAGTGGTGATACCCAACTGAAAATATCATTTCCAGAAGTTGTCAAATCTCATGATGTTATTATCAGTACAGCCCAAATTCTTGAAAACTCCCTTTTGAATTTTGAAAATGGAGAAGATGCTGGTGTCCAATTGTCAGGTTGGTTAAAGTATTTATTTTTAAATCAAGAACATTTAGTAATATTAATAATAGCAGGAGAGAGTGTATTGGTTATATAATCAAAATATCAATAAAAATTAGCCTGGTTTAGATTATCTTTCACTTCCTAAATTTCATTAAAACCTTTCATTTCCCAGGGGAAACAAAAAAAAAATAATGGTTTTAACTAGGCCACTTTGCTCTGCATAAGAATTTCAGTATTAAGTCAAACACTCAGTGGAGTTTCCTTTACTTCTAGCAAGTTGTTTTTATTTGCTAGTGGATCTCCTTAGAACCTCCTTCTTCACCATGGAATACAAATACTGTTCTTTCTGTTTTGGGGGAGGTGGGTTGAGAAGGTAGGAAACAAAGAAGGAAAAAAAGTATGATATCTGAATTTTAAAGTAAGCAAAATTATTCCTCCTTAAATGATGTGGATTTGATTTAGAATAAAAGCAAAGTTAACCAACTTAAAATTAAATATTTTATTGAAGAACAAAACTGCAATCCTAGGAGTTTTCTTGGAAGAAGCAAGGGTGTGAATTTTACCCCCAAAACTTTTGAGCTTTATAAACTTTCTGAGTCTCATTTTATTAAATCGGGATACTATCTAACAGGTATAGTTTCATATGTATACATGAGCTCACATGTGTACAAGTACCATGTACAGTTATATTTCCCTCCTACCAAGTGTAAGAGTGTTGCAATACTACACAAGACACCCACATGGCAGCTCAGTTCATTAGTTCCAAGGTACTTACCTCATTGTTGTTTGCTGGCATGAACAAATGAATCATTTGAATTTTCTTTTAAGACTTTTCCCTCCTTATCATTGATGAATGTCATCATACCAACAAAGAAGCAGTCTACAATAACATTATGAGGCGTTATTTGAAACAGAAGTTGAAAAATAATAGACTCAAGAAAGAAAACAAGCCAGTGATTGCCCTACCTCAGATTCTGGGACTAACAGCTTCACCTGGTGTTGGAGGAGCCAACAAGCAAGCCAAAGCCGAAGAACACATTCTTAAAGTAAGTAATTAGTTTACCAACAAAACCAACACAGAGACAGATGCCTGTGTTCCTTGGGGATTTTAAGATTGAGCTCAACTTCCATGACATCTATTTGCTTTAGCTACGGAAAAAACACTCAGTCTCCCACAAAACCATGACAAGTCTTAATAAATTGCTATGTTACAGAACAATGCTATAAAATCAGGGAAAGCAGATATAATTAATAGGACCTTGAGACAAATAGAATGCCTTCTTTCAACATCTCTACTATAGTTAATAATCCATCAGATATAAAAATATGTGAATTTCTAGAATTCACACATGATAAGGTATTATTCCATGAGTTTCAAAACTGTATTTTTCCCTAAAGAAACCTTTTATTTAAGGAGTACAAATTTCATAAGTACAAGTTTAGGAATGTAGTGATTCTTCCATCATAGCCACCTTCCCACCCCCACTACCATCCCACCTTCTCCTCCCTCTATCATTTTCAATTAACTTTATATACAGAAAACCAACTCTATACTAAGTAAATATTTCAACAATTTGCACATACACATACACACACATCCTATTTGAGAACCAATTTTACAGTTAATTCTCATAATACAACTCTTTGAAGACAGAGGTCCTGCATGGGGAGTAAGTGCACAGTGACTCCTGTTGTTAACTTACCAATTAACACTCTTATATATGTGATCAGTGATCACCTGAGGCTCTTAACATAAGCTACCAAGGCTATGGAAGCCTTTGGAATTCATAGTTTCTGTCAGTATTTAGACAAGGCCAAAAGCAAAATGAAAGTTCTCTCCTTCCTTCAGAGAAAAGTACATCCCTCTTTGATGGCCACTTCTCTCCACTGGGGTCTCACTCACAGAGATCCTTCATGTAGGACAATTTTTGCCACAGTGTCTTAACTTTCCATGCCTGAAATGCTCTTATGGGTTTTTCAGCCAAAGCAGGAAGCCTTAAGGGCTAATTCTGAGGTCAGAGTGCTATTAAAAAAAACTGTCATTCTATGAGTCTGCTGTGTGGAGTGCTTCCTGTGTTGAAACATTCTCTCCTTTTTAATTCTATTATTATTGCTAGACACTTGATCTTATTTATATGATCCCTTTAACACTGAATCCTATCTATATGACCACTTTAACACTTAATATAATTACTTTAACACTTACAATGGCATTTGTACCACCCAACTTAAGGGGATTTGGGGGGCCCTATGGCAAGATTTTAAACTGTACCCTTAGAAGTAAATCCATAGGAATGTATGCAGAACTATAGACTTTACAGTTATTTTCTATTATATATGATCCTAGGAATCTGGGTAATCAAAGTAAGTAGAAAATATTGGTATTAGGATTATGAATTTAAAAAGAACTAATCAGCAGCCCCACAATAGTAAAATCACATTAAGTGGTATTTCTTAATCTCAAGTGTTAAATGAATCTGAGTAGCCCAGGCAGTATATTGGCACCAAGGAAATTGCATTGGAATTTTAAGTCCATTTTAGTTGAATTCAGTAACAAACATGTGGAGTTGACACAGAGTTCAGAGGCATAATTGTTGGCTCCAAGATAAAATTTACTACTGAGATTAGGGATTGATGCCAATTTATAATCTTGGTACATGGGCTAATGCTGTTCCTAGTGTTGCACTACTCATTTTCTGTGTAGTAGAGGTTAGTAACAAGATACAGTATGTCAAGATGACTTTAGACATGCTTCCTACAATAGGTTTCTCTCAATACTATGTCAGTTCTTCTTTCTGAAAAATGGAATTCAAGGAAGAAAAATAAAATGAAAATATTACAAATTTATTAAGAATTTAATAAACAATTTCTGGAATTATCCTCCAACTTGGCTTATTTAGATGCTCCTGTTCACTCTGTCAGGACAAATGTTGTTGATTATTGGTTATCCAGATCCACAGTTAAACAGTACTAAAATATTGTATCAAGCAAGTAATGTAACAAATTACATGGGATTTTATCCTATATATTTATGCTATAAATTATGAGTTATCCACTATTTCTTAAACCAAAAAGTATTTTACATTAAGTCAATTGTAAGGGAAAAATAACTATCTGACTATTGAAAAAATGTCTCTTCCAGATATGTGCCAATCTTGATGCATTTACCATTAAAACCGTGAAAGAAAATCTTGATCAGCTCAAAGACCAAATGAAGGAGCCATGCAAGAAGTTTGCAATTGCAGATGACACCCGAGAGGTATGTGTTTATGTTTATTTGATTGACAATGTGATGTGCAGTTACAAGAAGGCAAATGCTATTTTACACTAACAATCTGAATAATGTTACTTGAAAATTTACACAAACAAGTTACAGTCTTGCAGTTTTTTGAGTTGTAATATTAGTACAAAAGCCCTGTTGTGAATTTCTCCTCAACCTTTCTTTTGGTTTTCCAATGTCTATGAATAGTAGCTCAGTAATTGTTAGGCTGTGTATGAGCCACAGAGGGGTAAAGTGGTGTGGGTGGGAAGGTTTGTATAACTGAGCTGGCGGAGATGCAGCAGCTCATTTTATCCTTTTGTACTTTCTTTGTGAACTCCAGGACTGAGTTTCTTGCATACCCCAGAGCCATTTTGTTTTTTACCATATTACAGTCTGCAATAATAATGAATATCCTTTCTATTTTGCATATTTAATTCTTAGGAAAATTCTGCATTAATGGAGAAGTGAAATATTTAATAATGTTTTTCTGATGAATATTTTCATTGATGGAATTGGGATTTGGTACAGTGGTTAAGTCCCACCTTGGGACACCTACATCTCATATCAAAATATCTGGGCACAACCCACAGTTCCTGCTTCAGATTCCAGTTTCTAGTGAATATATACCATAGGAGGGAGCAGAGGATGACTCAAGTGCTTGAGTCTCTGCCATCCGCATAGAAGACATGGGTTGAATTCCAGGTTCCTGACTTCAACCTGGTCCAGCCCTGGTTGTTACTAGAATTTGTGGACTGAACAAACAGAGGGTAGTCCTATCTGCCTTTCTTTCTCTTTCTCTCTGTCTCTCTTCCTGTGCCTTTCAAATAAAATGAAAATAATCAAATAAAAACTAATAAAATCAACTCAGAGTCAGTTAGTACATTATAACCAGAAGATGATGTCACTTTTTTGGGTAAAATTTAAAAAGCATAATAAATTTTGGCTAAATATACTTGGTCAAAAGTATAATTCCATTGAAAATCTACCTCATAAGGATATTGAGATTAAGTAATATGAGATATGCATGGTAGATAATACTGTGCTTGAAATGTAATAGGCATTAAACCAGTGCTAGTAACCAACCTCCAGCAACCAATAGCAGAGAGACAGAGACAGAGAGAAAAAGAATCTTCTATCTACTGATTCACAACCCCAAATGCCTACAACAGCCAGGGCTAGGCCAGGCTGAAACCAGGAGCCCAGAACCCCATCAAGGTCTCTCACCAGTGTTACCGGCCCACCCAGGATCACATTTTCAGGAAGTTGGGTCAGATGTGGAACAGCCAGGACTTGAACTAGCTAGCACTCCAGTGTGGGATGTGGGTATCCCAAGGGGCAACTTATCCTATTGTACCATAATGCCCAACCCACCCATAGATTACTTTTTTTTTAATTCTGAAAAAGAGTTCTATCTATTCAAGTTGCACCCCCATATTTGAATATATTTTATTCATTTTTCACTTTTTGGTTATTTTCTCAGTTTTACTTGATCAATTTAAATGGGTGGTTCTCCCATAATCATCAAAAAGAATTTCTCAGGATATTTCTTTAAAATACTTTACAATCCTTTTAAGTTACTTAACACCTTAGTATAGTATTTATTGAAGTGCAACAAACATACAGAAAGGGACAAATCCATAACTGCAGTGACTGATGATTTTCCATAAACTGAACACATCTGGGTAACCAAAATCTGGATCGGAAACAGAACATTGCCTACCCCTAAAGCCCTTCATTCCTTCCTGAGGTCACCATGCTCCAAGGAGGACTAAAATACTAATCTCTAAAACCAAAGATGCATTTGGACTAATTTTGAACTTCGTATAAAAAGAATCATAAAACATGCACTCTTTTGTGTCTGATTTAAAAAGGGGGGATTGGGAGATAGCATTACGGCTTAGTGGATAAAGCTGATGCCTGCAGTGCTGGCATCCCATGTGGGCACCGATTTGGGTCCTGGCTGCTCCACTTCCAATCCAGCTCTCTGCTCTGGCCTGGAAAAGCAGTTAGAGGATGGCCCACGTCCTTAAGCCCCTGCCCCTCTGTGGGATACCCAGAGGAATCTCCTAGCTCCTGGCTTCAGATCGATGTAGCACTGGCCATTGCAGACATCTGGGAAGTGAACCAGTGGATGGAACACCTCTCTCCTCTCTCTCTCTCTCTCTCTCTCTCTCTGTCTTTGCCTCTCTGTAACTCTGCCTTTCAAATAAATAAATAAATCTTTAAAAAAAGAAAGAAAAGCATACTGAAACCAATTCTTCAAAGAGGAAGCTTTCTTAGATTATAGGACATCTAACTAATCATGACATTAATACAATTTGATTTTAAATTACCTTTATCATTCAAATTTTTTAAAAAACTATTGAATTTCACTTTTGTAAATCTTTGAAATTGGGAAATCCAGCAGTGGTGGCTGATGTGAGTGTGGATGTGGCTCTGTGGCAGGTGTGAAAGAGAAAGAGAAACAAATATGATACATAGAGGTCATTCACGATTCACTTGTTACTTTATTTACAAAGATTTTTGAATCCAACTTATTATGACAAAGATAATCTGTCCTAACCATGTTGTCATTATTACTTTAACAATATAAATAAGAATAAGTGTGTGTCAATTACTTTTAGGATCCATTTAAAGAGAAGCTTCTAGAAATAATGACAAGGATTCAAACTTATTGCCAGATGAGTCCAATGTCAGATTTTGGAACTCAACATTATGAACAATGGGCCATTCAAATGGAAAAAAAAGGTAACTTGAATTTCAATTTAAGTTTATTGAATGTTTACAACACAGATACACATGATTATTTCACATAGTCACAAGCAAACTGAAGCAAATACATTATCAAAGCCAATTTCTGTGTTCTGGGTAAGACAGGAATAAACATGTTCTTTCTACTTGTCTAACAAAAGAGTTTCTAATTCATCTGGATTTCTCTTTCATTTATTGTATATTTAAAATATTGATAATATTGACAGTGTCACTAAACGTGAATTGCACTAATATATTTCTCATGTCATATCTCTGAGCAGCAGTCTTCAGACAGCCCACGGAAAATCCATATCATGAAAAACTATGCAAGAATTTCAAACATTTTTTGACACCAAGATATACTAGTCTCTCAATTCCCTTTTCCATGAACCTTTTCAACTATTCTTAGTGTATTCCTGTTGATGCAGAGCTAAAGCAGAAGGTCTAGAACCTGGAAAATTTCCCACTCATGGCGCATTTCGAGCCTTAATGCGCCTGTTTCAAAATCAAAGTTACAGGCATAAATGTATTCAAGTTCACAGCATGCTTGCAGGTGATTTATGTGCTCATGATTTCACTTACATAATACATTCTTTCCTAGCTGCAAAAGAAGGAAATCGCAAAGACCGTGTGTGTGCAGAACACTTGAGGAAGTACAATGAGGCCCTGCAAATTAATGACACAATTCGGATGATTGATGCATATAATCACCTTGAAACTTTCTATAATAATGAGAGAGAAAAGAAACTCGCAGTCCAAGAAGATGCTAGTGATGAGAGTGATAATGATGATTGTGGTGGCAATGAAGATAATTTTAACAAACCATTGGAACAGGATGGGACAGATAGATTTCTTATGGCATTATTTTTTGGTAAGAATCAAAGTAGCATGTATTGAATGTTTTGGAGAATTTACAACTTTTACATAAGAATCTGTTGTTTCTCAAAATCTCTCCAAAATATCCCTTTAAAATATTATTTTCAGGGAAGAAAGCCACTTCAGATTGTGACTCTATGGATGTGACCAGATTACTCATGGGTTGTAGGATTATAATCAATCATTCAATCATCTAGTTTTATTGTTAAGATGATTGCAAGTTATTTATTAAATAATTCACCTGACTATTAACCTGAGAGTATGTCAAAACATTTGTGGAAAGTGAAAACAAAAGTTAAGCTTATTTTGATACCAAAACTTTAGATAGTCACCCATACAGTGGGTCTTCAAGAAGTTCATCAAAAAGCATGAATTTCAAAAATTTGTACACTAAAAATTTATCTCAATTCTATTTTCCATAAACTTTTTGAAATATCTTTATATAGCACAATGTTAACCATCAATGAGCCACATCCGTGGCTCAATTACCTAAAGTCTTCCAGTGCAGCTCTTTGTGCCTTTTATTAATTCATACTAATCATTCCGATTGAATAGTTTTAATTAATTAATTATACAATTTATATGTTTATATGTATATAATTATGATGGACAACATGCTGTTTTAATATATGTGTGTGTTGTGCATTGGCTAAATCAAGCTAGTTAACATATTCATTATGATTACTTCTTTCAGAAAACAAAAACATGTTGAAAAAACTAGCTGACAACCCAGAACATGAAAATGAAAAGCTGATCAAATTAAGAAACACCATAATGGAACAATACACGAGAACTGAGGAATCAGCACGAGGAATAATTTTCACAAAAACACGGCAGAGTGCTTATGCCCTTTCCCAGTGGATTACTGAAAATGAAAAATTTGCAGAAGTAGGCGTTAAAGCCCACCATCTTATTGGAGCTGGTCACAGCAGTGAGTTCAAGCCCATGACACAGGTATAAACACTCTTTTAGCCTTGTTTTCCAATGCGGTTATTCCTCTTCTCATACTTGATTTTAATAGCAATCCAATCTGTGGTGTTTGATAAGCTACATGTTGTCTTAGGAGTCATTTTTTTTCCACATAATTGGAAGAACTTTCTAAATTTAGTTTTTTTTTCAAAAATAAGTAAATTTAATATTAAAGTGAAGAAATGGTTACACCATACAATTAAGTGGAAAAATAAAATCTTCACAAAAAAACTGTGCATTAATGATTGGAGCTGTGCAAAAATGTTTACATAGAATGAAGCCTATAAGAGAATTTGGCAAAATTAAAATATCTGATGTGTTAGAAATTATGAGAGGTTTCTGTCCATTTTTAAGGTTTTTTATTTTGTTTACATTTCATTTCATTATACCACTTATTGTGTGCACAGTAAAAAACAAACAAGCAAGAACAAAACAAAAAAAACCAACATCAACAGTCAGAAGATAAAAATGGATTTACAGACATTACAAGCATAGGTAAAACAGTGATGTCTTGTTAGAATAACTGTTTTTCCTAAAGCTTAAAGTCGTAATGACCCTGAATCTTGCAGGACAAGGGACTTCATCAGTTCTATCATGATCATCAAATTCAGGCCAATAGATCAAAATAACCCTGTTTTGGTGTGTATTGCAACAGAAACTTGAAATTGTCCCCTGTAACTCTTGATATGCTCTCTAATGGCACTCCTCAAAAAGTTGTTTATAAAATTTAGTGCTAGAGAAAGCAATGATTTCCTCGTGTACTGAATTTGTTGCATCGTTTTGGACAATAGCTAGATTACTTGATGTATTTTCCTTTTTACCCTACCTTCCAGGAAGCTCCCAGACAAAACTCAGTCTCAAGCTTCTGTGTGGATCTTTATATGTAATACATCCACATTCTTTCACTTTTAGTACCGTTATTCAGCTTCTATTATGTTAGCTTTAGTGCTGTGACTTTTTCTAAAAGTGACCTCAGCAACTCTTTGAAAAGTGGTAGGCTGGAAATTAAAAGTCTGCTTCCAAGCTACTTTTTGTTTCTTATCTCTGTGCTTGCTCCATCCTCACTCCCTGCATCCTCATCTTGTAAATTCGGGTGGACACACTCATTAGAAGAGGAGTTAGACACGATATGATATGAGTACTTGACACTGTGTATGAAATTTCATTAGTATAAATACTCATTTGAATTAAGATACGGACACCTGCTAAAATCCAAGTGCATATAAGTTTTTGTCAGTGGATATGAGGGTAGGAGGGAGAAATGATGAGAGGACAATCTTGGTGGGTCTTTTCACACTGTGTTCTCCAGCAATTAAAAGTCAAATAAGGATTCATGCTGCCTCTGAGAAGAGAGAGAAGGAGATGAGACCACATGCTGTTGGTCTGATAGGTTTATTTTTATTTAATACATGGAGGAAAAAAAGATGATAGCATGGATGTGTACCAAATGTCAGCTGAACCAACAGCTTTGATTTGAGTTGTTGTGGAAAATAAAAGTACACTGAGCATGTCAGGTTAGGTTTCTGTTCACCCATTCTTCCCATGCCAAAGCCCAATGGCGTATTTTAATTGTTTATATGACCTTTCAAAATTAATATATTTGTCATTTAAAATGGTTGGTTTAAATATATTTTAGTATCTTACTTTTCTTTTCTATTCATATCATTCCTTTGAATAGATATTAAATTTATCTCATTCAGAATTAATAAGATGAAAGGCATACCACTGGTCTCCAGCCTTCCAGCTCCCCTCCCTGGAGGCAGCCAATGTTTTCAGTTTCTCATGTGTCCTTTCCGGAATATTCCATATGTTTCCTGCTTGAATGATTCTTAAAATGACCAAGTGAATTACACGGTGTGTGCGTTTGCTCTGTATCTTAAAAGTCAACAAGCTATAAAAGTGTCACTGCAACTTATTCTCTGAATATTAAAGATTCTGGAGTTAATGTAGTGAGAAGAAAAGCCCATTTTAGCTTCTCTTATGGCCATGTCCCCTTCTCAATCAACAGCATCTCCTCCTTTCTTCATACCAAGGAGCCCATCATTTATTTCCTTGGCATAAATTACGGACTTCCCACCTCCAGACTGGAGAATGGAAATATTTTTGTTATTGTGTGATAATCCCAGATTGGAAATCAAATGTTGTCTCCCCATCATGTCTTTGTTCAATGCCAAAAACAGATGGCAGCAAATTCATGTATGATCTAATCCTTTGATTTACACTGACGAGTTGCAATTTATTATTCCATCTCCTAATTAGAAGATTTTAATGTGTTTAGCATCACAAAATTTAATTTATTAAAATGTTTCTACAGAATGAACAAAAAGAAGTCATTAGTAAATTTCGCACTGGAAAAATAAATCTGCTTATAGCTACCACAGTGGCAGAAGAAGGTCTGGATATCAAAGAATGTAATGTCATTATTCGTTACGGTCTCGTCACTAATGAAATTGCCATGGTCCAGGTACATTCAAATACCTGTTTCTGATATGTTAATTTTTATTTCTGTGTTCCTATTTTAATTGCTTTCTTCTAGGAAAACAGCACAAAACCTCTCTTGTGTTTTAAAAATATATCCTTTTTTTCCTGCTAAAAGAGCATTTTTTATATTTAATATTTTTATTTGAGAGGCAGAGATAAAGATAGATAATCAAATTGTCCACAAGGAGGTGGGGGAGAGGTGTGAAGCCAGGATCCCGGAGCCAGGAACTCAGTTCAGGTTCCCTGTGCAGGTAGCAGGGACCTAACTACTTGAACCATCACCTGCTGTCTCCCAAGATGCACTTCATTTCCCCCTCCCAAAGAAACATTTTATTTAAGGAATACAAACTTGATGCATTTTATAAGTACAACTTTAGGAATATAGTGATTCTTCCTACCATACCACCTTCCTATCTACTCTCCCACTTCTTCTCCTCCTCCCTCTCCCATCCCCAGTCCCATTCTAAAAGAGCAATCTTAAAGAACTGTGCAGTACTGCCTTTTTTGCTATTGCTGTTTGACTCATATGGTGACCAGATATCTGTTGCCCTTTTAAACAACTCTTGCTTGGTTGATATTTCTGTCTCAAGACTTTCCAAGACCATTACACTAGCCCCACATCTAGGAGTCCAAAGAGACCTCCTTATTCCTAAGATGTCAGCAAGTCCCCCACTGGACCAAAAATAGGAAGCACACATTTGTGAGATGAATGTCTTACAAAATAATGTGTCCAAGCTCTAGGGAGCGTGCCCTTCCTGTGTTCTAATTCCTTATTCTTTCAATTTTTCTACAACTTTAAAAATTTTCATGATAATCTGTTGGTGAGGATGGACTTATAAATGCAAATGTAAATAAATCAATAAGAGTAAGATGATACAGTTTCCTTTGAATGTTCAATTTATTTATGTATTAACAATATTTCCATTACCTTTTGTTGAGGATAACAGAAGTCATGCTAATTGATATAATATTCTTCCCATAGATTGAACTAAGGGATTGTTTAAAAGTTACTCATTTGAGAGGCAGAGAGGTAGAACGATAGAGACAGAGAACACCTGTCTAACTGATTTACTTCCCAAATTTAATCCCACAAATGCTAGAGCTGGGCCAAGAAAAGCCAGGAGCTGAGAACTCCATCCAGGTCTCCCTTGTAGAAAGCAGGGGCACAACTATGTGAGCCATCGCCTGCAGCTTCTCAGGGTGCACATTAGCAGGAAACTTGAATCCAGAGCAGAGCCAGGACTTGAACCCAGGCACACCTGTACGTGATGCTAGCATTCCAACCCATACCAAGTGTTATTTTTTAATACCAAGTTGCATCCTTGAATGTAAGGTAAATCATAGAAGACTAACAGATATGGAAGTAATTTTATTTCCAGAGTTGATTTGTGAGTAGTTTTTTTTTTTTTTTTCCCTCAGAATGTAGTTTTCCTTGATGATAATATTATAGTTAATAGCTAGGCTCCTGGGCCAGAGCACAAAGACTTCTTTTATTTGTAATGTACCTTTACATCTTTGTGGAGATGTCTATAGGAATTTGTCATGAAGTGGAGCTTATTTTCATGAGAAAATATGTTCAAATTCCAATGTGGAATGCCAGGAACAGACCTCTCTCAGCGTCCTGATGTCATGTTAGAAATGCTCCCTTTTCACCATGGATCCTTCTTGCCAGACAGGGGAATCCCAGTTCAAGTCACTGATCACAGTTCCCATGTTTTGAGAGAGGAGCTATGAGAACAGAAAAGCTGGACAGGAGGGCATCTGAAGGCTGGTATAGGGGCCCAACCATCATCACTCCAGAACACTGCTTCTGGGTTAAAGCACATTTTAAGATTCAAAGGCTTGACCTACCAGGAAGGGATAATAACTATACTAAGACTAGTGAGATCACTTGAAGGCTGGAATGCTGAGCAATGAATATCATTCTCAGCATAAAACCAGTAGAGTTTGTACAACACATAACCTTTCATTTACTTGATTTGTTTATTTTCTCAGGCCCGTGGTCGAGCCAGAGCTGATGAGAGCACCTACATCCTGGTTGGCTGCAGTGGCTCAGGAGTTGTTGAACGTGAGACAGTGAATGATTTTCGAGAGAAGATGATGTATACAGCTATACATCGTGTTCAAAATATGAAACCAGAGGAGTATGAGCATAAGGTATTGTTTTTGGATACCTCTGGATTTAGTTTTCATTTAAAAAAAAATGGATGTATGTGGTTGCCATTGATATCCCTGTGGCTTAGTCTCCAGACAGAAATTGTGCTGAATTATAAGTTCCTGTTTGATGCGTTGTCCGTAGCTCAGATTCACAAACAAAAGTTACCAAGATCCATGGTGGGCAGGAAGCTGTCAGGGAGCTCATTCCAGTCAAACCAACAATGAACTTTGATGATATAAATTTAGGCTGCCTTTAATCCAGAAAACTAGCACAACTCACCCATTCAACCCAATCTGGTCATTTGAGTTTGATCCAAACCTTTTGTATAAGCACACATTTTTATCCCAGCAATATTTATACAGTGCCTACTATGTGTCAGGCAATGTTTTAGGAACAACAAACATGGTGGCAAACCACACAGAGAAGAACGCTGCTGCATGAAGCTTGCATTCTAGTATGAGCTTGGCGAGATTTGACAAGGAAAAACAATGGACAAAAATTTAAACACTAGATATACATCATGTAGAGAAAAATGCTAAGGAATTATATTAAGAGAATATGAAATCAGTCACTACCTGAGTATTTCGGATCGAGTGGTTGAAGAAGGTAACATTGTGGGAGTGACACTGAAGCTGAATCTAAATAATAAGAAAATATGTAACATGTCTTCTAGCTGCATCTCAGTTTACTAACACAGAGTTATTGGAGTCGTGTGAAGGAATGTGGTGAAGGAAGAATGTATCTCTACAATATTTCAGGAAATCCCCCATACCACTGAATTAAAAAACTGTAACTACTATAATAGCAAACAATCCATTTAGAAGAAAATTCACACCCTTGCATATGGGTGTGAATGTTAGTTTCTTAACATTGGAATTGGCTCTACCCTAAATAGAGTTTCACAAAAGGGATGCTTTCAAATTGGTGTGCAAAGCTGTAACCAACTCCAAGGTTTCCTGGCCAGGTTTCTACACAAACTTGTATTTTAAAACCCTTTTAAATAGAAGGCAAACCAAACATTTTGGAGTATCAAATCAAACTTTTGTCACCAAATGATGCCACTAGAAAGTTACTGCCTCACGTTTACTTTCCTAAGAAAATGAACCAGGCAGCTATTTACGAAGGGTGATGTTTTAAAACTATTCTTGAGATACAACCTAAGACAATCTCTGGAGTTAATGGGTCAAACTTTTCAGTTACTTTAGAATAAGACACAGTTCCTTTGAGGACTTCTGAGCAGATTGTGTTTTGGGGTCTTCTTTGGAGACGAGACCTGTCCTCCCAACACTCTACTTCAAGTAGATGGAATTAGCACAGGAATGGCAATGAGGGGAGGTGCATGCCACCACTAGTCTGTCCAAAGTCCCTAGTAAACACTGTCACCAGTTCACAGCTACTCAGAGAACATCTCCTTGCTTCTGATTTCAGAATCTTTCTCAAAACATCATTCAGGCTATCACTAATAAGTGGCAAGAGTTGACACATAAGGTAAAATATGTTTTCTATGTCATATGCAGAATTTATACATAACAATAGTCTTCTTAAATTCCACTCAGGCTTCAAGAGGCAAGTTGAGGATGGTAAACATTTTCCCTGGCATTGACCCAGCAACTTTTGCCACATTATTACGTTTATTTAGTTATGCTTTTTCATAACTAAGATCTCTAGATTCTTGGAATAAAATTATTTATTAAAAAACATTCCTAGAAAAGCAATCTTTCCTTTGCAGATTTTGGAATTACAGATGCAAAGTATAATGGAAATGAAAATGAAAATAAAGAGAAGTATCGCAAAGCATTACAAGGAAAATCCATCGTTAATAACTTTCCTCTGCAAAAACTGCAGTGTGCCAGCCTGCTCTGGGGCAGATATCCATGTGATTGAGAAGATGCATCATGTCAACATGACACAAGAATTCAAGTGAGTCTTCAAGACCGTGTTTAAGTGTCTTCGCTAAGAGTGAAGCACAATGTTTTATAAGTGTTCTTCCAAAATAGTGAAAACCAGATTTTCTCCCTCCAATACTTCCACTCCTTTTCTCCCTCATTTATATTCCCCATTTCAAATGTCCATTTTAAAATAATCTGCTCCGCACTGCAACAGGAAGGGAGAAGTGTTAAAAATCTAAACCACTTTAATCCAGGGTACAAAATTCGTGCATACTTATATTTATTTGTTCTCAAATTTGTGAACAACTGAAGTCAAATAACCAACAAACTTGAAAGAACTTGCAGAAGGCAACACTTGCCTCAGTGGGGAGGAGTAGGAATGAGGCATGTGATAATGCAGACATCTGGGTAGTTTCTAGGTCCTGTGAAGGGACCCCTGAGCTACATATTTAATGGTTTGCCAGCTCTCGGTGATGATTCCTTCTCCTTGATAATTTTAGGAAACTCTACATTGTGAGAGAAAGCAAAGCACAAAAGAAGAACTTTGCTGACTATAAAACAAATGGAGAGATTATCTGCAAATGTGGCCAAGTGAGTAAACTGCTATGGGCTCAGTTTTACTTTGGCCAAACGGAATGTTAACTGGATGTGTTTTTAATTCTCTTTCTCTCTCTCCCCTTCCTCCACTTCCCACTCTTGTTTTTCAGGACTGGGGCACGATGATGGTACACAAAGGCTTAGATTTGCCTTGTCTCAAAATAAGGAATTTTGTAGTAGTTTTCAAAACTAATTCAGCAAAGAAACAATACAAAAAGTGGGTTGAATTACCTATCACATTTCCTGATCTTGACTACTCAGAATACTGTCTCTTAAGTGATGAAGATTAGCATTTGATTGAAGATTCTCTTAAATTATTATCACGTTAACATGCAATATGATTTGGATCAATGTTTTCATTATACTATAGAACTGATGTGAGTATTAATAAAATTATTGCTTTACTCTATATTGAGCTTTTTAAAAGAACATAATGTACCATGTTCCATCTTATTTGTTAGCAAGGATAAAGAAAATCTACCGATAGCACTCATTAGTAGGGAGCACTTAGTATGGTGGAAAGAGTGTTGGAGTATAAATAAGAATCCAAGGTGCCAGTCTCACTTCTGTCACTAATTTTCAGGGGAAAAAAAAAATGAACCAGCCTTCTTGTGGTGAAAAAGTCATGTTATCTACTTTATCTTTTGTTAATTGTTCATTTCTGCACATGTTGCCACAAATTTAATGGTTTTTAAACTAAACCCTGTTATAACATGTGTAGATCAAAAGTCTAGGCAGGGAGCTCTGCTCAGAGTGGCAACAGGGCCGAAATCATGGTGTCAGCCAAATTATGTTCTCATCTGGAGGCACATGGGAATGAATACGTTTCCAAGTTCATTTTGATTGCAGCCAAAATTCATTTCTTTGCAGCTGTGACTGGGATTCCTATTTTCTTGCTGGCTTTCCATGGGGACTCACTCTCAGTCCTTTGCACACAGTCTTCTCAAGGCCCTTTCCTCCAACAGACATGAGCTTCTTCAAGGCCAGCAGAAGAATCTCCATGTCACTCTACAAGCATAGGTGCCTGTAGACCAATATAGCCATAGTCCTTGCCCACACTTGAGGCAAGGAGACTGCTCAGGACATCACACCAGAGGGCAGAAAGCTTGGTGACCATCTTGCAATACTACCTCGCACATCACTTCACCCACATTTGTGAATAAGTGATGCACTTAGAAAAATGTGAAGCACTTTGAAAGATGTAATGTTAATAAGCAGCACTGAGTCAGGTAAGGCTTACTTGCTCAGCCTTCTGTGATGGAAAACTAGATACAGCAGTGGCGGGGTGGGGGTCGAGGGGGGCTAAATTCAGACTGTTCATGTTGAGGAGATTGCCTATGCCCATGGAGGAAATGGCTCACCTTCCAGTCCACGGGTCAGCAGCATCTATGTATCTGTGCAGCAGGCAGCAGATGCTGGGTGTTGTTAGAAAGTAAAGGGAATATGCTGCCTCTGCCCCTCCTCACTTCAGGTGGAAGAGTGACCTCTCTGTGGATGCTGCATTTTCGGTGTTTCTGAATGAAGTACTATCATCTGGACGTGGACACAGGGCCAGAAGTCTGTACTACAGACCATTCTCCTCCATAGATAAGCAGCCTCTTTTGGCATGAAGGAGCCACAAGATTGAGACAGAAACCATAACTGACCATTCCTACCAACACTTACCAAGTCTCACAGATGGCTTCCTGAATGGAAACATTTACTTCCTGTGACTAAGGAGCAACAAAGTGCTGGAGAAAGTGAAAAGAAAATTTTCCTTTAAGTAAAAAAAAAATACATTTATTTATTTGAAAGGCTGAATTGGGGGGGGGGTATAGAAAGTGGTCTCTCATCTGCTGTTTCACTCCCCAAGTGACCACCACAGAAGGGACTGGGCCAGGCTGAAGCCAGGTGCCAGGAACTCCATTCGGATCTCCTACGTGGATGGCAGGGACATAAGCATGTGAATCATCTTATGCTGCTTCCCCAGGCACGTTATCAGGGAACTGGTTTGGAAACAGAGCAGCTAAAACTCGAACTGGCACTCCGATATGGAATGCTGTTCTAGCAGGCTGTGGCTTAACCCATTGTGCCACAAATCCAGCCCCAAGAAAACTCTTCTGTAGCATCCATCTATTAATTACATTCAGTATTACAGTAGTGCTGAATTTTCTTTTGATGAGACCTAAGGAATGTTAACCAATCAGAACTCTAGGGAATGGAAGGGAACAACAGAAGATTGTTTCTTTTAAAAAAAATCTTTTAAAAACTCCAGATGACTTCATTTAAAGTATTACTGCCTTCTAGAATGTTTTGGAAAGTATGCAAGAAACCAAATGCATAAAATAGCTAAATGTACTACTGTAACATATGTAGACTAATTTTGAGGTATCAACAAATATCAGGTTTTTTCTACTATGTTTTCCATTAACGTTTTTCAATAAAAAGTGTCATTTCTACTTTAAAGTTTTAAAATATGTGTTTCAAATAAAAGAAAATTTAGTACATGATGGTACTTAAAAACTTGAACTATAGTAAGTGTATTTCATTCAGAGAATAACTATAAAGATGTTCAAGCTGCCTGAATAGAGATGCCCAGTGTTCACCTCTTCCTCCATAAGGAAAGACCAAAACACAAATAAACAACTGCATCTCGAGGTGCATGCCCAGGGAAAAACACAGGGATTCAGTGAGGAATAACAGCAATCTGGTAGGATGCAGAGACCCAAGATGGCAGCACAGAGAAGGGAGCAGAGCCAAGCAATAACTAAGACCCTGGCCTTAGGCCAGGGTAGTCCCTAATGCAAGGAGGTAGGATAGCCTCAACAAAACCAATATGCATGATCATTTTAGCAGGCAATCATAGCTACAGCAGGAGTCCACAGGCACAACAGAACAAACCAACAGCACAGAAAGGAGATCTGCCTGGAGATCTCATGGTCAGTTGCTTTAGCTCAGAGAAGGAACTCAGCAATATATCATACATAACCCCAAGAGCACAAGCTGTGGCAGCATGGCACCCTGTTAAGAAAGGAGTAACTATCAGAATTCACACTGCCCTAAAGGACAAAGACCTCTGCATATACCATCCCTGGGGCTCCACGGACATTCCACAGTACTAGCAAAAAATTCCTGAAGCCTTACAGTTCCATCTGGACCTGTCCGAACAGTGGCAACCCTAGCACCCTAGTCTACACAGTGCTCAGTACTACAAAAGATGAGGTGTGCAGAACAGCAAGGACTCTAGATTTATGGGCACCTGTCTTTTCAGACTCAAGCCCACCTCCTCCAACTCTCTGCCCTCCTCCTGCCACCCACAGCATCGCTCACTACTGGTAGTAATCAAACACATGTGACTGCTACCTGCTCTGCCGACAGCCGCTCTGGACTGTGCAGGCTCTTGGTACTATATTTGGTACTGTACATGAGCCAGTGCTATTCTTGCAGCTTGGGGTCTCATTTGGGCAGCAGTCCAGACTTTGCATGCTCTACACTCATCCTGGCACCAGCAGTGCTGCTTCAAGACCTCACACAGACAGTGTGCTCCACTTACCTCAGCTAGTCCCAAGGTTGCAGGCCTTGCAGACACAGTGGCCAAGGAGTCTGCATGCTTGTCTGTAGCAACACCAGTGCCAGTCCTGTGTATTCTGCTCCTTACCTAGACAGCTTCTGAGGAAGTACATGCCAAGGGTTTGAGCAACTCCACTGGGCTCTGGAAAAATCCTGGATCCCTGCTGCTGCCACTTTCCATTGCAGCAAAATATAGGGAGACTACACTCCAGCATCTAACAGAAATTAAGGTAAAAGTGATATGTAAAACCAACACTAGAAGACACATCTTTTTTTTTTTTAATTATTATTAAGAAGGAAGAAGGGGGTGGGGAGAAAAGGAGAGAGACACAAAGATTTAGACAGATGGAACTTCCTTCCACTGGTTCATACCTCAAATGGTCACAATAGCTAGGACTGGGCCAGGCCAAAGCCAGAAGCTGAGAAATCAATCCAAGTGCCCAGATGGTTAGCAGGCACTCAGCCACTTGAGTAGAATTGCTCCAAGGTCTGCATTGGTAGGAAACTGGAATTGGGACTCAAAAATCAGAATTGAGTACAGGCACTCATTTGTGGGATGTGGGCCTCTTAACTAGTATCTTAACTGCTAGACCAAATATCTATCCCCAAAGACACATCTTTAGGCAAAGGTCTTCAATCCACGAAAGTCACCCTTTAAAAAGTGATATAAACATGGGGTTGGTGTGGTTGTGTAGCAGATAAAGCTGCTGTCTGCAGCACTGGCATCCCTTATGGGCTCCATTTTGAGTCCCTGCTGCTCCATTTCTGATCCAGCTCCCCACTAATGTGCCTGGGAAAGTAGTGGAGGATGGCCCAAATACATGGGACCCTGCACTCATGTGGAAGACCCAGAAGAAGTTCCTGGCTCCTGGCTTCAGAATTGCCCGGTTCTGGACATTGTGGCCATCTTGGGGAGTGAGCCAGCTGATGGAATATCTCTTTCTCTGTCTCTCCCTCTCTCTTTTTCTGTAACTCTGCCTTTCAAATAAATAAATAAATTTTTAAAAATAAAAATTAAAAGATGATGAATTGCTCTGCTAGATGCGCAAGTATCAATGTAAGGATGCAAGAAACATGAAATAATCATCAAAAACGTTCCCAAAGTGAATAAAGATGGATATCTAAGTATAGGAGTCCCATAGGACCACAAATAGACATGACCAGAAATAATCCTCACCACAGCACATTATAATCAAATTCTCAAAAGTACAATACAGAAAGAATTCTTGAATTTTTAAGAGAAAAACATCAAGTTGCTTTTAAGGGTAGCCTTATTAGGTTGACAACAGATATTCTACCAGAAGCATTATAGGCCAGGAGACAATGGAATAATGTATTACAAATTCTCTAAGAACTGTTAGTCATAAATAAAGGTGAAATAAAGAATTTCCAAGACAATTAAAAACTGAAAATTCTTTACCACCAGAGCAGCCTTACAAAACATGCTTAAATTCCATCATGAAAATATTTGAATATATAAAACCCAACAGAAAATGAGCAAATGATATTAAAAATGAACAGAAAAAATATTAAGGAAAAAAAGACAGCATTAAGCCATTACTTATTTGTAATGATTTTGAATGTAAATGAACTAAATTGCCCAATTAAAAGACACATACTAGGGCCAGCACTGTGGCACAGCAGGTTAAAGCCCTGACATGAAGTGTCGACTTCCTATATGGGCACCAGTTCCAGTCTCGGCTGCTCCTCTTCCAATCCAGCTCTCTGCTATGGCCTGGGAAAGCAGCAGAAAACGACCTAAGTCCTTGGGCCCCTGCAGTCATGTGGGAGACACATACTGGTTGAATGGATTTACAAAAAGAAGACCCAATCATATGCTGCCTGCAAGAAAGTCACTTAACCAGTAAAGACACACAAAGACTGA